AATACTGATTAGAAGTATAAATGGTTTTCAATATATGTGAATTAAGCGAGAATAATTTCCCGTTTGTCACCAAATTGAGGGACAGCATGGATTGCTTATATTACTTCATAACTCTCTATTTCAAATTACACTTTTTGTAATGTAAATCATGGAGAAAATTGATTTCTACTTATCTATGTTAAGAAAGGTAGTGGAGAATGTGATCTAAATATACCCTCTAAATATATATATTACATTTAATAATCAGTGTAAAAATATTAACTATATATTGTAGGAAAAGTGATATAGTTACCAATAATGAATAGGTTTGTATCCTACTTCGTAACAATTACGTGTACATCGCATGTATCAGCTGTTTGTCACTTGACTGATATAAATCTAGAATTGTTAGGCCGATTGTAGAAATTGAGGTTAGTGCCAAAACATCCATGCAGTTGTTTTTGTCCACATATTAAAAGAATATTTTACATCCCTTATCTGAAAACTGATGGATCTAGTTAGTGCTGTTTGGGAAGTACTTGTGATTTTGCCGAGAACGAGTGTAATACCAAATGATTTCCACTTCGCCTCAATGTCAGTTATGAATTCAAAAAAATATTCTTCAGACATGAAAAGCACCCAACACTTTTTCTATTAAATATGATATAAGTAATTGATATTCCACATTTCAGCTTAAACGTACTTCCCCTTGAACTTTTGAGGTTTTACCTGGAATACGCTTATCGTATTAGTGATTTCCTTCACCTTCTCTATTGCTGTACAGCTTTGTAAGGTCTTGATAAATTAATTATGTACACAATGGTTTTGAATAAAAAAAAAATTCTATTAAGATTTACTAATTAGTTTTAAAAATTGATGACGATTTTGTATTTAATTAAGCATTTTTGTAATTATTAAACCAATAGATCCACTCTCCTGGATTACTTTTACTGCGTCTCGTCAAGGACGAATGACATCATATATGACAAAAGTTTTGTTTCTAGATGTTATCAAATGGAGAAATTTCGCTTCTTTAATAAATAATTGATATGATAAAACTAAATACATGCAACCTTTGTTTTATACATCATCGTGCAGCATAATTAATTTTTGTTCTTTTCAAATTTTAATGACGTCACAATGTTGCCACACAAAAAAGGGTCTTCCTTAACGGAGCTGAGTTTGCAGTGTTAGACCATAGAAGAGCATTTTGGGACAGATTGCATGATGTCTGCAATATGTTCCTCAGTTATGTTTGTTTAAAAATAAAAAAATATATTGAGCTTTCTTGTACTTTATGTTTGCATAAATGAAAAACGCAGAAAAAACTCGACCAATCTGACATCCTTTGCGGTATTTGACCATCGAAGAGCATGGCAGTACAGTGAATAATTTATCTGCAGTGTGGTCCTTTTGAAACTTTTGTAAAATAAATAAAAGTTAAGTTAAATTTTGTATCTTCAAGTTAGAAAATGCTGCATCTAGATCATTAATAATTATGAAAATGTCTCTATGGGTGGTTAAGGCTTTCTATTATTACAATATTACACCGTAAATCTGTGTCCACTGAGAGTATATGGACCAAATAAGATTGCCAAACTGCCGGTGACTTCTAGGTGATTTGATAGATGTATCACTCTTCATCATCAGAGAAACAGGGAAATAATCGTTGCTGTAACCTCTCTGACCACCATCGCTTACAACTGTACATGTAATTATATAAGTAAAAAAAAAAAACCAAACAAACAAACAATCGGCTGCCAACATTAGATTGCAGACAGGAAGGTCAAGTTGACTCCATAACTTCAGCAAATCCGACTGGATTGGACGAGATAGCATAATATATTTACATGCGCCGACTGCCGAGGAGGCAAATTTTCTGTTTACATAATTATGAGGATATTGAAGGGTGCGTAAGTCATCTAGTCCAGTGTATCTCATATATTTATGTTCATATAGATTGAGTGAATAATGTTTGCTAGAGTAAGTGTGGAAATTTTGTAAAATTTTGTGACGATGGAATAAATTGTGTGCAAGAAGGATATTTCTCAAGAGTGATTTTCCTCGGAAAAATTTTATTATGAACTTTGAGATTCTTAAGGGTGACTTTCCCCTGAGAATTCTATGGCATATTTATTTCTAATTACTGATAAGAAACTCACAAGTGATAGCCTCAGATGAGTTTAGCTTTTAATTTTTATACAATGAAATCTATCTCATCCGACATGTACTGGGAGACGAATTTTGTGTCGGAATAGACAGTACTAGTTTGTCGGATTGCACAGTGTAAAATAACATGGAAAATATTAAAATGGGAATGAAATTTAGCGTCAGAATTCACAGTGTGACGGATTGCACAGGTGTCGGATTAGACAGTTTTCACTATACAAGAAGTGATTGACCTTGTTTTGTCACATTGAGTTATCCCGAGTTGTCCCCCTTTAATTGTGCTATGATATTGGTCGATCTCATCATCGTGTCGGTTTTGTGGGACATTTTTACGCACATGTTTGAAGTCCTCAGCCGCGTTGTTTTATATTTTGCTTGTTATATTGATTTGAAGGAGTGAATTTGTTAACTTTATGAACTTGTGTCTCATTACAAGTCTTAAGACTTCCGTTCAGGTGTTGGTCAGGGTAAGGGTAATAGTATTGAGAGTTGAGTAGGTCAGGTCATTCTATTTTTTTTTTCTATAAGATGTCATATTTGAGTTTCCTTAAGCTTGCTGATGGGAGATAATCAGCTGGAGGCAGCGCTACTGGGAAAAGGACTTTTTCGCTACAGTATATATGAATGGGGCTTACTTGAAGAAAAAATATGTCAGGAAAATATGTAGTTTATTGCCATCCGTAGTATTTAACTAATTTTTAACATGTGAAAAAGGTAATTGTAGTGTAGATAATATTCAGTATTCTATACGTTTGTCTAAGCCTCCTTTACGCAAAAAGATTTATTGTTTAGCTTTCCTCCATATATTCTTGCCATACATATTTAAAATTTAGTTTATAAAAAAAGGAAAATAATCAGGTTGAATTTGAACATCGAAGCCAAGGGGAATAATTCAGAGAGAGAAAATTATTCATACGATATTATACAATTATGGATTCAGTGTAGGTCAGACACAGAAAATGATAGCGACCTCGCAAGCTCGGTCGCTATCACTTTCTGTGTCTTGGGTCAATATCACTTGACATGGGTCCTTATAACCACATATTGACCGTTCACTGAAGTCCATAATAGTTGTATTATATAATTACTCAAAGTCCTAACTGAACAGACTTGGCTGTCATTACGTCACAATGGTAAAGACATGTTTCTTATAATATGACGTCACGTTCTACGTAACTTCGGTGCAGCCGAACGGTGAGTCGTGCGATATCACATTCCACGGACGCGCTTTCGCGTCAATATCACAAAAGGACGAATATCACGTGACGTCCTTTCAGCCAATGAAAATTACGAAAATAATCTTACATAATATTTATCTATATAACGCTAATGATGACGGATTTATGCTCTCCATCATTTATTAGCGGGAGATCGTTGGAACTGTAATAGGTGGAATTGTGTGATTCGTAATACTGTCTTTATGATCTGTTTTATAGTCTTCAAAATTGAAAGTGATCAATAGATATTTAATAAAATCAATAAAATTTGTGGTAGTGCATAATTATCTAATTTACACATTTGAATATTTACAAATCAACAGAAATAGATTATTTATCTGCTATATCTTTGAAAAACTAAAACCAGTTTTTAAAAAAATCGATCAAATCAATCAAATTCTGGGGAAGCAAATAATCTCTAGTTGAAGCCAAAAATTCTATGGAGGCCAAAGAAAGAGGGCGTACAAAGCGAGGACAATCCCCTGCTCTGAAACAATATTTTTCTCATTTTTCAAAGTTCACGGAAAAGTGATATTTTTCTATAATTATGTTTCCAGTAAAGGCATCTTCAACACATTTGATTCGTTAATTCTATTGAATGACTTATTGGTTGATAATTTGTTTATAAAGTTTCCAGTTAAGCAAATTTATTGGAAAATGGGTTTATTGGAGCCATAAAAAATTATTTTTGAATATGAATGGGTCAAGTCTCCATTCTACATTAACGTTTAAATGTAAATTTAAAATCTACTTTATGTCTTTAAAAAATGGAATCTGAACTCATTCCTTACGAAAACTGAACATTTCTGAAAAAATTGTACGCTTCAACAAACTTGTTTATTTAAATCACTCTGACACAGATCAATGACACGTATAACCGTGAGCTTTGGAGAGAGTTCGAATCATGTTTGAAGCTTCTTCTTTTTTACATACCTTAAAAACATATGTGAAAAATCAATTATTTATCAATAAGTTTTTCAAAAAAATAAAGGAAGCAAATGTGTAAATGATGATATTGAAAATACAGTTCTTGAAAAATATAACTTAATATGAACTTTTAGAACTGAGAAAGGTCTTTTTTTTTAGAGCGGGGAATTGTCCTCTCCTTTTACGCCTCCATTCTTTGAGACCAAGCAAACATTTTAGCCTAGATAAAAATTTGGTTTGGAGGCAACTTAGAGGCATACCAACTTTGAGAGCAGACCAGGGCAAAGGGTCCAGATCAGGTTTTAAAGAATGCCTTCGCGCACACAAAATAAAAATTGTGTATTTTCTGTTTGCTATATAAAACTAAAAAAAAAGTTTGATGATAATACATGACTAAAGGTGAGTTTACAAAATCCCAAACTTATCAATGTTTCTGATTCACATTATGTGGGGCATTATCTATTTTAAATATGGTTCAGAAACCCCAAACATTGTATCCAAGTAATGGTTACTATGAACTTCTCCATTGAATTGACATTCATAGTTCTTTTTCTCATCAAAATTAATGCACCATTCTGCCGTCAATATTTGCAAATTTAATGGATGACATTTACATAAAATGAGTGTAATTTCTATAAATCCCATTCATCAATTAAAGATATAAAGCAAAACTTCAAACAGGAAGTGTTCAGTCGCAAGTGAATTTTGAACACTTTTAAAACTTGTCAACAAACATGGACAGCAAGATAACAGTGTTCTGGTGGTTTGTTTTGTCCAATTGTAAGTATTTCATTGTAAAAATCATTTTCATCATCATTGATTTTTTTAAATTTTTATTTTATATGATTATCATTCAAAGATTATTTCTTATTAGGATTTTAAAGTCAATTGCGCACTTTATATGAATTGAAACCATGCAAATCAGTACTTTGATATATTTCAGTGTTTAATCCCATTCATTGTGCAGGCTACTGTTATTACTACTACAATTATGTATATGGATCATATACCTTAAATTACTGCTACTACTATTACTTCTACTACTACTATAGGTAAGTTACTAAACTTCTATTATAAATATCTGAAAAATATTTTGAAAGATTTGGGTCATCTTGCCTTATAAAGAGCTTTCAGGGTTTTTGTTATCTACAGTGCATGAGACGGCTGATCTTCTACACACAATCATGATGTAGTAGCATATCATGTAATCTTGAACAGTCAGCTTATGATGATTCCGTGCAGTTTCTACTCGTATGTACATTTTTTTTTTCCCATTTACAGCAGTTATTCATCAATAGGAACAATCGTTGGAGCGGTAATTGGCGGAATTGTGGGATTTGTTATACTTGTGACCATTGTGGTTATTGTATGTGTTAAAGCCTGCAAGACAACTAACCACGGACGAGTGATTGTCCATCCCTCACAACCAACAGTTTCCTACGTCCATTCAAGTATTCCAATCCAAGTTTTTTTTTCTTAATTCTTTCTTCATTTCCTTGAGATATGTCAAACATTTTAATAATTTTTACCTTTTGATATATTTTTACCCGGTAAGAAACATGTTAATGACGTATGTTACACTAAATATGTCATGTGAATTTATATATTTTTCAATACTCTGTTTCAGCTCAAAACAGTTATGGGGGACCCAGTGGTTATCACCCAGCACCTAACCCCATCCTTCCTCCTCCTTACCAGGGACCATCGGCGCCCCCGGGGCCACCAGTGTATGATTCTGTGTACCCGCCCAACCAGGGCCCCAAAGGAACAGCTTATCCTGGGCAATCTGTCTGAAGTGATTTCTAAGTGAAGAAAATTGTTTTGATTTAAAATAGACGTTAAAGAATTAAAAATAAACTTTAAAGCGTTGATAATGAAATGATATACGCAAAAGGAGGCCAGGTAGTATGTCATTTAAATCTTTTGATCAAAATTCAATGACATCAGTGTTGAAATTTTATTGACAAGATCTAGACTGTTTACTTGTTGGATATTTAATCTTACGAAACTGCCAAGCATTATACAAAATACCTTTTGGATTTTCATTGTATATTCATGCAAGTGCTTCAGCTGTGAATGGAAAATGCCCGTCATCAAACGTTTCAAACATCAATCTTTGATAGTTTCTGTTTATCAAACTAAAGCATATCTGATCAAGAGATGGATTTACTAAGCATGTTAAATGAATGTGAACAGCCTGCAAAATAAATCAAAAATCAATTTGCCATTGTTTTAACTTTATCTTTCTGATATCAAATTTTCTTCACCAGTTATTTCTGATTTTTTTTTCTGGTCCATCTTTGAAGATTATATGACAGTTATTACATTTCCTATTTTATTTCAAAACTAGGAATTTAAAACGATGCATTCTTCAATTTGTTGAAATGGACGGTGGATATGTAAGCAACAGAAAGAAGACGAACAATTTTTTTTAACTTTGTTGAGGAAAAGAAACTCTCTCTCTCTCTCTCTCTCTCTCTCTCTCTCTCTCTCTCTCTCTCTCTCTTGGTGTATGTGATGTTTCTCGCTTCTTTATTTTCATACAATTTTTGAGCATGGATGCTTCTCTTTGATTTTCCTACATAAAAAGCATCTGAAATTTACATATTGAATGCGTAATTTTGGCAGAAAAAAATATTTTATTTGTGCACATGAGGTATTTACCTTTCTAATTTACATGTATTATGAGAGCTATATTTGTTTTAATTCAGAATTTAAAAACGTCTAACATTAGAAAAGCTTTAAGGTTGATTCAATTACAAATGCTCTGCATTTTTCTGAAAGTGATCCAATATTGGACTTTGTCTTACCTTATTGAAAATGTCAAGAAAAAGTCAGGTCCCAGTAGCTGATAAAATTAAATATTTTTGTCACTTGTATTTTTTCGGTTATTCTGAGTTTTACTGATCCAACATGTGTATTTTGATATCACTGTGATATTTCAATGCATTTTACTCGGAATGTACAACAGGAACCCGATTTTCTGTACCCTGTTAATCATAGTAAAACAGGAATTGAGTATGTTCTCGATCTTGATTTCTACAGAGACTAAAAATATTAAATAGATTTTTACATACATGTTTTAATTCTAAGATTAAGAATATTAAAAAAAAAGTTTTAAAGATTTATTCAAAATAATCGCTTTTCAGCTTGTCTAAGTCGCACCCAATACAGTGAGTAATAAAAATATACCTAGACGTTGAGGATAACGCAGAATATTACAAATATAAAATTATACATGTATTAATATTAATAAAAAGAATATTCAAACATTTTTTTAAATAAAATGTAAGGTAAGATATTAATATATTTCTAAGTGCTTTACACAGATGGACATCATTAAAAATAAAACCAAAGTAAAATGTAACAGCAAAACTTTTTAATTTTCTAGAAAATAAAATTCAAAATAAACTAACAAAGGTCTAGAAAGGGTGACAGAAGCTGACTGGAAATAGGTCCATATTATTTACTTTGAAAACTGACTTTAGGAATGAATTATCAATAAATAATTTTGAAATTCACAGGAAACGATCAGACGAAACGATATATATTGTATTGCTTCATAGCTGGATCTTTATGTTAAAGTGGGAACTATGATTAAATGTTTATCATGATCTTTTTTTGTTTTATGACATGGCATAATCATTAAACATTACAATATATCTTAATTAATGCAGAATATCAATAACCCACCTAAAATCTCGTTTCTTGCTGCAGATTTCTAAATATACGGGAAATTTCTAGAAAAGCAAACCTCGCAAAATAAATTGACTCAATTTTATTTCTATTCCTGAAATATACTTGTGACATCTCAGAATCAACAGTCTACTACCTAATGGCGTCTATAAGTCATTTCGCGATACTAAGTACTGGTGTAAAATTAGGAATCTAAAGCAGTGTTTACACAGTATATATAATTTGTATGCTTCAGATAACAAATTCCATACTCGAACATTGTATACTTTATAATTATAGAGAGAAAAACCCCAATAGTAGTAAATTAATATTAACACCGTAATAAAGTGAGAAGTAGTCTATTGAAAGTTAGCATATTTTATTTGAATCCACAGCATTAAATGTATGACTCTCCTACATTGCCATAAAATTTATATGGCACCTTGGCAACCTGAGCTCTTTGAAAGACTATTTATAAAACTAATTACCTGATAATATACATGGTTAGGTAAAAGATTGACAAAATTATTGGTTGTATCAGTTTATCTACTGGTATTTAAATTCCTTCTGAAGGAGACGTGCAGATATTGTATGGAATACTGATCAATAATTATATTTTGCTTGCTGCGTAATAGTTCTTTTTTTATTATTGACTTCCTTGTAGATTTCTACACTACACGGTGCCATGTATTTAAACGTTTGTCTAAAACTAATTTTACAAGACTGAAAAACATTTCTTCTTTTCCAGTAGACAAGGTCTGTATATGCACAATCCATTTTTTTCAATTTTTCTGATCTTTCATCTTTTTTTTTCAACTTAGCATTTGTAGTTCCTTATTATCACGAATCTTCTAGATTTGTTAAATTTGCATCGTATTTTTGAAGGGTTATAGATACAAAAATTCCTTTAAAAAACATGTACTTTGAGTTTCACAATGTAATTTATTTGCTTGGAGATAAGATGAATAAAAGAAAAGTTACAAATTCTACAGGTGGTTTTCCAGAAAATATCACCGGAAATTATCGATACAGCCATAATTTAATGAACTACCATTCAACCTGCCTCCTTGTGCATTTAAACGAGTTCAATATATATATATATATATATATATATATATATATATATATATATATATATATATATATATATATATATATATATATATATATATATATATATATATATATATATATATATATGTTCTGTGAACTTAGGGGACGTTTATCATTGCCTAATCTAGAGAACATATGATGCATATTAATTCTGCATGATAGTTAAACATATACAGGTTAACTTTAAAATCCTTGTAATTCTTTTGGAAGACCCTAGCCTTATGACTCGACGGCATTATTGTATACAATTGAACTGGAAAAAATACAACAATACTTGTATATAAATTCAACTGTATAGCCGCATATTACAGACAAACTGAATAGTCTTGATTTGATAAACATGGGCACCAGTCGATGGTTTTCCGTTCTGAAATTTCTTCTTCTAATTTGTAAGTACATCATCAACATCTTAATTTCATATTTTTGATTGAAAAGAAAAATTAAGTTTTATCTTACCGTGTACTTTATAAGAAACGTTCATTGTTTCTTCTATAAACTTTTATTTTTATTTTCAGCTTTGAATTCAGTTCAGTGTGGGAGTTACTGCTACTACAGTTATTATCTCGGAACTAAATATAAATACTGTTTCTACTACTACTACTACTACTACTATAACAGGTAACATATAAGCTATTAAAACAATAAAATTAAGGATACACCAAAGGCTTTTTTCAAGATTTTCAACAATTTTGAGATTTTTGGCTAAGAAAAAGAAGTTAATCACTGCTTTATAATGCATGTAAAATTTTTGGTAATTATGAAATGGTTTTCTAATTATTTAACAATAATGAAACATAAACACTACCACATGTGAATGTTCCGTTATTGAAGCTTCTGATTTGATCTGTGACTGCCTGCTCATGAAGGACGCAATAAATTTCTGTGACCACTTGGGGAATTCTTCACTAGCCTCACAGAGGTTATCAGTAATTAAACTACAGGGATCTAGATTTAGAGAAAGAGATCTAACAGATCACTGATGACCATAAAATAGGAGGTGGAGCTTAGCTCTTGCCATTTTGCCGGGAAATCTTTCTGATTCAGATTTTGAACCTATTTTACTTAATTAAAAGCATCTAAATACAGAAAAGAACCTCCCATTCTTGTGAATATGCATAGGAAATGTGGCTAAGTGACAGGTATCCAAAGCTGAATCTCCAAGGTGTCATATATTCCTAGCTTTGGCAGATTTTGTTGTGTAATGGGTTTTTGCCCTCTACTGTAAAGTAAGATCAGACAGTTTGGGGTATTATTTCAAAGGATTCAGCTCCCTTATTTATTGACCAATTTCTCTGAAAATTGGATGGGTTGCTTCTCAAATGTGTGTTCACAAAACCGTATCTCAGATTTTTGATACCTAGCTTAGTTTTGGAATTATTGAGGGAAATGTTAAATTAGGCTAATTAATTGGTAACATTGAAGGGCAAATGGCTGTAACTTTTGAATTAGAAGATTTATCGAAAATCTGAGATACGGTTTTTAAGTTCAATCTTTAATCTACCTTGAGGTAAAATGACCACTTTGAGGGGTTAAATACAAAAAAGTTGATTTATAAAATATTTATGCACTAAAATTTACATTAATATTTAAATAATTTTTAAATAAGTTATTAATTAAAGTTTAAATGAGGATAAATAAATAGTAAATTTAACAAGCTTTCAAATGATATATACTTTTATTATGTTATCTTTGATAATGAAAGAATTACAAGCAAATTAATTTCTGGCATTTGGAAACCTTTGGTGTATCCTTAAAATGTTTTCTGTTTTTTGTGAATACGGAAAATAGCATTGCGACATAGCAGAGAAACTATATAACCCACGTACATGTAAGTGGGTTATGTAATTTTTTTCTGCAATGGTTGAACCCGTTCACATTGTTCCCCATATCAAAGAAATTGCTTTATTATTAATATTCATATCTGTATAAAATGTCTATATTAAGTGGGTGAATGTAAGTAAAATATTGATTATTAGTCCATTACATTGAGAAGTCCACTTAAGAAATCTTTCAAAAATCCGGATCTACGATCGTAAATAGTATACATGTACATGTATATACAGTTTATCGTTTGATTAACGACATTCGGTTTTCATGAAAAATAAAGGAGATAAAATTCATTGGATGTAAATATATAATATTAAATAAATATTTACCAATCTTATGCTCATAATGCAGCTGACAATAAAATAATATATATGTTATTTCTTGAAGTGATAAGAGACAAACCCCTTTCCCATCTCATTTACCGGAGTTTTATGCAAGTAGAAAAAAAACTTAAGAAATGATGTAACTATGAATTTGGATTTTTATACTGTGACAGATATTTACATTTACAGCAGTTACTCTTCAGTTGAAACACTAATCGGAGCTGTAGTTTGTAGTTATGTGCGATTTGTTGTACTGTTATTTAATTCACTGCAGTTCTTCATCAACAGGGATCACTGGAGCATTATTTCATTTACAGCAGTTATTCTTTCAATATGAGCTGCAACTTTGATGTCGGAAATATTTGTTGCAGTATTGTAATTAACTATTTCAATGACGGAAAAAAAAAGAAAGTTTATAAACTTTTGTTGTTCATATTAGAGATTGAAGAACTATTAATTTATAAGCTTTGTTTGAAGCAAAATTACATTATTGTCGTCCTGTAAAATATTGATTTCTTATACATTCCATTGTAAAGAAAGCTTTCTTTTGAAAAAAAAAATGATACTTTATTTTAGTCTAATTGATTATAGAGGATTAAATCACATACATATTTATCATAACAGCACATTTTAACAGCAATATAAAATTTTCAAGAATGCAGCTCATATTGCTTTAAAGTTGAAACAATCATCGGGGCTGTGGTTGGTGATAATATGGAATGTTTATTACTGATATTTTATTTACAACAGCAGCAGTTATTCCTCAGCAGGAACAGTCGTTGGGGCAATAATTGGAGGCATCGTGGGATTTATCTTTCTCCTGTCCATCGTGGTGATTGTGTGTGTTAAAGTCTGCAAAAAGACCAATCATGGCAACGTGATTGTCAGACCAATGGAACCAACCGTGTCTTACATCAATTCAAGTATTCAAATATTTCTTTTTCTGAATTAATGTATGAAAGTCCTACTGACAATGTCTAAACATTAATAAACCTGAAATTTTATATTTGCTAAAGACAAAATTACTTAAAATACAAGTACTTTACAAAATTGGACTTCAAGTTATTTTAATTAGTAAAAACGAAGAAAATGGATTCAGAAAGAATAAGCGAGAAAGCAGACATTAGTGACATGAGAGCAATATTGAATATCAATGATTTTTTTTTTTCATTTTTGAAGATTTTCTTTTAGCTCAAAACACATATGGTGGATACATGGCCTACCAGCCTGCTCCGTACCCTGTATTCCCGCCACCCTATCAAGGACCCCCGGGATCCACGCTTACTTCGCAATCAGTTCCTAGTTATGGTGACCCGCCACCATACAATGAACAGCACACGTCAGCAACCACGGAGCAATTACAGAGGACATCGTAACCAAGTTAACATATATATAAGTATATGTACGAATGACATCGTAACCAAGCTACCTAATTTACAGTATTAGGACAGTGTAGAAAGAAATGTTTGTCAGCAAAATTTTAAAATGAACGCTAGTGCTACACCTGTAGGCTTTATTAACAAAAAATGTATTAGTTAAAATATTTTTTTTAATTGTATGAAATCTTGGGTCATAGGATAAAATCAATTCCCACTTAAACATGTACTTAGGCTTAAAGTATATTGCATTTAAATTTGTGTTGTTCTTTTGTTGCTATATTTTAATTGTAGTTGTTGATGAAAATGAGGAAAAAAAAAGAAATACTGTTAACATTTTTTTAATCTTTTTTTCCAATCTCATGAGTGGATGGAAGTTAATTGTTACATTGTTGAATAATAAAATGTTATGTTCAAGAGACGGTTACCTGTTTTAACTATATTCAGTACGTTAACAATTATATTATCAATGCAAGGTCATCGTCGCAAGCCACGGGTTTTGTGTCCATTCTATATTTGTGGAAATAAAATGGACACAAAACCCGTGGCTTGCGACGATCCCAGATGATGCAAGGTATGAATCATAGCTTTTATGCAGGTTGACCGCAGCGGAATCATCCTTATTTTTTGAAAATACTGATAAGCCGTGGAATTTGTTTTCGTTGTTGTTGACATTGTTTTTTACATAATTTTATTGATTGGTTTAGTAGACAGTAGTTAATTTATAATGATTTTAGTCCTGCAAGGGGAGGGCAATGTACTAAGTACTGCAGAGTGAAGGGGTTTCTAAAGATCCACTTTCTGTATTAATCTACATGCATACATGTAAAAGTGTTTAATGGATATAATTTCTTCAATGTATTCTTATTTAAGCTTCCTTAAAAAAATTAGAAAGTGACATTTTTATATTTCCAACTATACAGAACCCGAAATATTGTTCTCGAAATGAAGATGTTTTAAAAAACAATTCTCTAAGACCCTGAGGGATCCTAGTGTACACGAAGTAAACAAATAAGCTGTTCAAATGTGCTTCCATTATACTACTTATACTTACATGGGTCTTTTCACTTTCATCACTTCAAGGATCTATATATAACTAATCTTAATTGATTTGATTTAATCAAAAGTTATAGTTGTATAACTAGGAATGTTTCTGAGGTCTTGTTGTTTATTTTCTCCTTTTGAGAACAGTGCTGATATGTATATAACCATGTTTATTAGCATCATTAATTGAAGCTTAAATTACAACGTCATTGCCTAAAGGATTACATGGTAATCATAGTGTAAGTTTTCTCACATTCTAAAGAATGAAGCAGATGGCTCAATGGTAATGCTGCAAAGTCACATATTTTCGTGGAGTCAAATTTCGTGGTTTGAGGAGAAACTATGGGTTCGTGGGGATTTTATTTCGTGGATGAGGTATTGATGAGTATAGTTATGTATTTGACATTTTACATTTCGTGGTGGACATAATTCATGGGTCTCTTCATACCTCGATTAGTGATTTCACAATAAGTGTTTGGCCAGTAACCGAAATGTCGCTTGTTCAAGTCCTGCTACAGTCACATGACGGGTGTGTTGTTTGTCCTTGGGCAGGACACCTAACATGTATATCATGCCAAAATGGTTGTTTATACAGTAACTTTAACTCCAGACAGTTACATTGTATTGTTTGTTAGAATTAAAATGGCATGTAGATATTTAAATAAAGATAAATGAAAAATAATTCTAACTTTACACATGTATAGTACTCTTTGTGTAGCGATCTAGTTGGAGCGGATCAAAGATATGTCTCTCTTTAAAAAAAATTTCAGAACTTGATTTCTACGGCATATATATGCAAGAGTCACAATAGTATTAGCTTCTGAATTCTCATAAAATCAATCGATTTTATGTAGAATTTTGCGCATGGACGCTAAATATCTTTATTTGCGTAAACAATGCACCTGAAATTAATCCAGTTGGCAGCCAAGATGCTTTTTATGAGCATGTGAAATTTATCTTAAAATTAGTGATATTTACCAGAGAACTATAGACTGGTAGTATATACTAGGTCCCATTACACCCAGCACAAACAGGAAGTGGTCAAAACGAAAGTAAGCGAATTCAAATATAAACATACGCACAACATTGACTGCTAAACATATTTCATTGAGCCAGGTAAGATATTTGGTAAAACTCACAAGCGTGAGACTGTTTACACCACCACAGACTTAGAAAGAGGGGGCAATATTCATTAAATGCGTTTCTTTTCTAAGTGCATGGCCTCTAAACTGCTAAATACTGTTCATAAAAACTATTACATGATTCGATAATAAGTACAGGTACATGTGGGTTAAAATTAATTAAAATAACTCTTTGTTTGTAAGGGGGACAATAAAAACATTATGTGAA